CGATCACCTATCTATCATCTATCACCGCACTTATTCTAAATCTCTCCGCGTCATTTTTGTAACGCTCTTTCATCTTCTACACCAGAGCACACATACCTACACCCAAAGTGGAATACTCGCAAGAAAACTAAACATCGACGAAAGATCCCGAAGAATGGGTAGAGAAAACGTGTATTTTTTGGTATCCAATCAATTGGGTGTTTTATTTACGGTTGAAGAGAGAAGAAATGTGCAGATTAAGTTCGCATTTTATGAACAACATATCTGCAGTTTTAAGTGATTCGGGTTTCCCCTCAACCTCAAGAAATTTTGAAAAAGTGCGGTGATAGGTGATCGCAAATGATGGCCGAAACAAAGCGTTGAGCTGAATTAGTAAGAAAAACGGTTTAGGAGCTTTTATTCAGATGAAAGCACGTTTTATAAAAGCGAAAACGACAACGGGGAACAAGCCATCATCGTTCTCCTGGAGAGGGGAGCACTGCCATTACGCCACGCTTTTTGGCCATTGCGGGCAAATGCGCTTATCAGCTGGCACTATCCCCCTATGCTTTAAGCTTAAAAAGTCTGAACGGTCACATAGGTCTCTACTCAAAGTTCCATGGGAAGTTGAAACCCTTCCCTGGTTAGACACGGTGAAAGGAATGAAATTTCAGAAGGACTATGTACGTTTTTACAGTTGATTTTGAGTTGGAGCCCTTTGGGATATCTGGAACACGATCAGATTGCAGGTTAGTAGTGGTGAATATCACAATACCCCCGTGCTACACATATCGAAATTTCGCTTGGTTAGATCCAATAGGAATGGAGTTACACTCAAAAAGCATTTGGTCGAAGACTTTTGAGCGTTACTGTTTGCCAAACTGGAGCCCAGAAGTCCACGCTGGAGCGCCACTACACGTGGTCAACGTTAGGCAGCTTTGAATAACGTGCTCCAGCGCAAAGGCGTGGGAAAGTATGAAAAAGCATGTGAAGAATTTGAAAATGGCCTTTCTTCTGTCTTTGCGAACTAGTAGTTGCTGGGAGTGCTTTCCTGCTTACCAATTCAGTATGTCTCTGTTTGCTCCGTTCATTAAGTTCCTTCAGGAGGGAGGCAAGAGGGGCTGGGGGTCACGTAAGAGTAATAGTATAGCAAGGTGTTACGTGGAATTCGTGAAATGCTAGCACTGTATCAAAGACAATAAGAAGGATAAGCCTTTTCCGTTATGTACTCTCATGCGGTTTAGTCAGAGGGAATTAATGAACTACGCCTTGAGTGGCTCCTCATCTCTAAAGCCATTTGTGGGTGGACACATGGTCTGCCATCTAATCAGTTCTTTTTCCTTGTCATCAAGAGATCACCACTCATAGCAACAGGTTTCCAACTGAACAAAGTCACGAGAGTCAGACGAGTATACGTTGGCCGCGGTAGATGCGTGCCCATCCAAATATCCGGATAAGTCACAGAAGGGTTGGGATACTTCGCTTCATTGGTGCATTCATACCAAGGAAAAAGAAGAATCCATCCCGATAGGGGAAAAGGATTTAAAAATACTATCATGGAGGCCTAAGGTTAAGCAAGTGGCATAGCGCAAGCGTTTATGAAGGACATAACCCTAGAGAAAGTGGAGTAATGGAAGGACGAATAAAACAATGCTTCGTATGCTGGAAAAAAGATGTAATCGCTTTGGATAGGGATGAACCACCCCTCACAATATGTTTGCCTATGGCATTTCCCAATTACGTATGAAACTGCGGATAAAAGCTCATCCTCCACGTTGCACCGGGTTTGATGCATCCGGTAGCATAAAGTAGGACATTTGTTGTTGTTTTATAGGGTAAACGCAGACAACTATAAACTTCCTACATATTTTTTCCACAAAAATTGTACAAGAAATCGTCAAACAGAAAAACAAACTCTGCCATAAAGGAATGGAAAAAAGCTCATGACAAAATTATGAAGACAGATGAAAATAGTGCTTCTAAAGTGTATGGATGGGTGCTTATGGCAATGCTCGCAAGGCAGGAATAACCAAGCACATAAAATTAACGACAGGCTAGACAGGTCTTTATGGAGTCATTTAGGTGAGTTCAACCCGGCAAACACAACAAAGTTGGGAATGAAAAACCAATCCAAAGTAGTCATTTTTCCGAACATTACCGGAGGGTAATGACCACAATGGTCCCTGTCCTCTGACTCACTGAATATAACGGTCATGATGAGAATGTCATGTATTTTTCGAGGAAGATAAGTACAACTCATAACGATATATGGATGAAGGACGACTGGTCAGAAGACTTCTAATTAGTGGTGATGGTGAAGCACAAAGCCGGAGTAAAAATTTCGTAAAAACCCTCCTGCTAGTTTTGCTTGACTTCAAAAAGTAGTGCTTGTTCGTCTAATTGAGGCTGGAAAACCTGCAACTAGTGGATGCCTACGACGGAGGCATACGGAGAAAGATGATGAGGGTGTAATACACATAAGTGGTATTTATGAATCAGCTCTGAAGCCGTGTAAGGCCAGCAATGGAAACAATTCTATCATAAGCAAAATGGCAGCAATAACTTTTAAACCTGCGCTGCTTGTAGAAAATTCGCATGCTCTTGGATGATGCCATAGTTGAAGTCACCTACAGCATGGAGAACTACTTAGGATCAGTCTGAATTCAAACCCACGGCTAAAGATGGGTGCAGGAGAAGCGATCGTCCACAGCAGCTTGGCACCTAAGCCAGAAGGGCTGACATCAAGGGAAGTATCAGGTCGCTATCGGCACTGCAGTTTATAACATTTCATTCGGTTTCTTCCATTTCACAAGGTAGATTGTATTACATCATTCCTAGTGGTACTGAATTTTCGGCAGATTCCAAAAATAGTGAAAGCGTCATATCGTGAACCATTCATCGTTTTGCATCGGCAAGTATTTTTGGCACAGGGCCCAGGCGGTCCAATCTAACAAGGCAACTGGTATATATACAACACAGGGTGGGCCAAAATTATGATTACAGCGCGCGCTGACGCTCATATTCTCTGAGGTCATAGCAATTCGTTCGGCTTCTTCTATTTCACAAGGTAGATTACATTATTACCCTTCTGATGATACTAAAGTTTTGGTAGATTTTGAAAATAATGTAAGCTAATTACCCTGTAAATAAATCGTCACTTTGCATTTACAAGTACTTTTGACACGGTGCATCTACAGATGACTCAGCGTAACAGACGGGGGGTTCACTCAATCATAA